GAATGCACTAACAGACTATTGCCATAAACCATAGACGAGCAAAACTAGCTAAAATTAAGTAACTGTGCCTTCCATATTCCATTAACCCCTCTCTCCATGTAAATAAAAGATAGGCATTTCATACAGCAGACCTAATCCGATCACAAAAGGGCTCTCTTTAACCTGTTAAGTTACAACTCGTAGACTAGATGAATTCCTAAAGTATTTTAATTCATTTGTTTTGAAATGAAATCAGCTATCAACTATAGAGATATATAAATGCAACACAACAATAGAACCCACGCCCATTACCCAGAGGCTTAGGCAGAGACCATGGACCTCCATTACGCGCAGTCCTGACACACCATTTTCGCTTCTTCTGCATTCATGCATCTACGCATACATGCACGTACATTTTCATGTTCTAGATACTGACTTACTTGGCTATTTTATCAATCTGAACGGTAGTAATCCGTCTAGGACGGCCCCGACCGACACGCCGTTCACTTTCGCGCCATAAATCCCTTTTCATTCAACCTATCAGTGTGTCTAAACTATCTAAGTATACCTTTTACCATAAATTCATTCGTGTGTATTAAAATACCGAGTGATTAAATAAAACAGAAATGTAAATTTCAAAACACCATTTTGGCTATCGCGTCGAAAACAATCCCACGTCGACCAAGCACTGAAGATATCAGATTTTACAATAACATCTGCAGCCGCATCGTGCGTTATGCTATCACCATAACGGCACCCCATCATCGGCACGATCATTATAATTATACCAAACGAAAATACATTTAAACATACCCTTATTCTAATAGAAATAGTGTTTAAAATCGCGTGAACCAAGGATAAAACATCTTTGGAATGTGACACAATTCGCTGCGCAATCGCACGTCATCATCACGATTTGCCCTAAGGTTACCTCTTGCGTTTACTGCATTTTAGTTCGTATTACAAAGACTTAAGGTGGTCAGATAAGTCAAAGATACCGTAGGTAAATTCGTGACAGGCCGTTGTTGAGAGACAACTTTGGATTTCAAAGATGTTCTCATTTGATATTTACGTCTTATTCGTTGTACATTAGACCTCATTTACTATTAAATTTGGTTGAAGGCAAACTGTTGATATTATCAAGTAAATATCAAGATAATTATTAACGGCCAATAAGCAATTTAACAAAAATAAAACATCACCACAGCGCTCCAGCTATTTCTCCACCATAAATTCATTTTATCTATTAGTCGATAGATGGCGCTCACGAATTTCAAAAGTAAAGTGCGACATCTGTTGGTCAATGGTACAAATATAATCCAATATAAATTAACCTTAAAATTTATCACATAACAATACCAAAAACAATGCCTTGGAAATTTTATAGATTAAAAAAAAACATGACAAATGTACCAAAGTTAATGAATGTGATGACTATGTTCCTTCATTGAAATATGCCTATAATAAGGATTAAAAAAAAATAATACTATTAAAAGCCGTCCGGTTTTACAAATTTAAAAATATATGAAATATAACAAAATAAAACTACAAATATTTTATAAATAAGCAAGCTCCAGCGTCATCTATATAAAATTATAAAATGTAATTTTTATTGCGCGTACGACCTTGCCTCCACTTTGCGTTCAATTGAATTTTGCTATCCTAACTAATACCCGAGATTATTCATAGATGGCGCATATCTTTATATTTGCATTTCTTCATACGACTTAACTGAACCAAAGCTAATTCAAAACGCTTTTCTGTATTTTTTTATTTTCAATAAAAATGTACTATTTTAATTTCTAATTATATTACTACCTTAATCAATTTCAATTTCAAAATTATTCTTATTTCAACGTTGATTAAGAACTTCCAAGTTCTACATGGCCATTTCTCAATGCATGGAAATCTAAAGGATTTTAATAGGCTTATTTGCATATTGTTTACGTTTTTAAATAAATAAAATGACACTTACTTTTATTACGGTAGTTGTAGAATCCATAACAATATTCTGTTGTCACAAAATCACACGTCGCGAAGTCATATTTCGGCCAATTTCCACAAACCTTAAAACTTCACAACGCCGACACTTTTTAAAGGTCTTATTTAAATTAAATAAACGCACATTTTACAACTAATATCACATTTACTAATAAATCTGTTACATTTTAACAAAATAATACAGACATTTTAATGACAAATGTCAAACGTTTCTTTTTCTTTTACGGAAAACTATTTTTATATGCTCTTTGATTTTCACCTGCCAGTACTTAAAGCTGCCAGTTATATTATGATATAATTTTTCTTTATTTATCTGTTTATAATGATAATACCATGGATTTACTTTTAATGTAAGGATATTACAAGAATCTTGGTATTTTATTAATTCTTTAGATTTCAAATTCATCATTAAAAAATGACGTTCTATTTACAATGTTGTATACACGGGGTAAAAAAATTTGATAGAAGTCGATTCTCAGACCTATCGTAAAATTTCATAAAAATCGGTCAAGTCTTTTCGGAGGAGTATCGTTACTTACATTGTGACACAATAATTTTATATTTATGACATACTACTTATATACGATTTAAGAGTATTTTTATTTACAGTACTTTTACAGCGTTTACATTTTGTTGTATTACGCAAATACTAAAACGTTATTTTGTGAACTTATATACTTGGGAAATATGCTTTAAATATTTAAAACATAATTATATTTTTTTAACTAATATTTGTTGGCCGGTCTTAAAACTTAAAATCTGAATATAAATAAAAGTTTGCTTTTGAACTGATAAAATCTGATTTTGTTAATCAATTAAAATCAAATTAATGAATTTAGTTACATTTTTTAGAAAATTTTTTGGAGAATTTTTTTTTTGTAGTTGCAACACTTTTTAAAAGTAATAGAGAAATGTATATTTTAGTGCGTAAAAATATATGATGTTTTAACTTAATTGTGAAAGATGTTTGTGAGCTTGTGTGTTGTGGAGTTTTAGACAATTTTACAGAAGATAATACGGTGACGATAAACAAATTTGTGGCGGTGTTTGAAGGTATGTAACATTTTTAATATTAATATTATGTTATATATTTTTTGTCATAATTTCGACTGATCCTGCGATCCGTATGATTGATATAGGATTGGAATTATATTTTGATATAGAAATATGTAAATAGCCGTAGCCAAATCATTATTTTAATTTAATAATTGGCTATACTAACCAGACTTTTTCGTTCGAAACAAAGTTAAATGTGGATGTCATTTGATTCTTTTTATCAAAGTGTCAGTCAGTCGGGTCTATTGTTTTTAATTATTAATAAATTAGATTAGCAGTTCTTTATATTGTAATTTCTTATCAAGTTATAGGAATATTTCGTGTGAAAATTTTCACCACAATACGCAATTCTGAAGTACCCACATTAAATTGATTTTTATAAATGATTGACTAAAATATTTCTTAAAACCATAAACATAAGATTGAAAGTTGCACAGCTATATTTTCATCGGAAACGTAATTTTGTAGGCAATTTTTTGATGAAGTATATTTTATATTTTTCAATTACGTCATAACTTTATAAAGAAATGGGAAATCGAAACTGATATATAAACACGGCTAAACACTCACGTATATACGTCCGGTGGCGGCACCGACTAGTTTCGAGCCCATCGTGGGCCTTCATCAGGATGAGTGGCACTGGTATTATTTCGCGGACGCGGAGTGTTTAGCCGTGTTTATATATCGGTTTAGTATAATGTCTCACGAAAGTTTGAATAATTTAGATGTAAAATCAATTGGTTAAAAACACCATATTTGTATAAGTTAGGTTACACTTATATTCCGCACATTTTTTATTTGGCACGCTTAGAACAAGGGTACGCTTCTGTGCGACGTGCCAACTCAAGCATCACGTACTAAGTTTAACGACCTGATTGCAAAATAAACAATAAAATTCATACCAGCAATATTTTACGTAACTCACAACCTTGAAGTTTCTCTCAAATTTCTCGATACATAAATTAACTTTTGTTTGAATTTTCTAGAACTAACGATGATATAAGAAATAGGGATGTAAAGGACAGGAAGGAAAAATGTAGAAAGATATAATTTTTTTCCCATGAATTGTTTATTTTCCTGATGTGTGTTTTGTTCGGATTCCCAACGTCAGTCAGCAACATATATGACGAATTTTACTCTATATGTATAAAACAAGTTTTTACAGATTAAGGTTTTTACCTTATTTTCTTTCTAACATGACAAAGTAAACTTAACCCTTAGTAGCCTGATTTACATACGAAAGTGATTTATTTTTAATATTACTGTGTTTGCTTGATAAAATAAAACAATAATGAAATTTGTTTTTTTTTTAATTTCGTTGGAAAGAATATTATACAACAGTAAAATAGGTACAGCCAACCTATAAAAAAAACTAATAGTAATGTGAACATTCGGTTTAAAAGATTGGTATCAAAATTGAAACTCTAGGCTACTAAGGATTAACACGATGAATAACATTCAAATGTAGGCGCGGATTAATTTGTCTATTTAATAATGAATAAATTATAAATTTAAACGATTTATTTATAAGAGAAGGGGACAAACATCGGAAAGATCGAGGTGATCATCAACTCAAGGATAGAGGAGCATCAGACAGATATAAACAAAATTTTATACAAAAGTTATTTTTTTAATTTCGATTCTATACTTTAAAGACGTAAAACAGTGTTTTGTACAGATGTTTAGTAAGTAGGTACTTATAAACATTCAACAGATTCGTGCTCGTATTATATTTGTTAAGAATTCAACATTTAGGAGTTATTAATCAGCAAAATATCAATGGAATACTTTTGCTAATGTAAAATAAAATCAGGTTTTGTGAAATGTCACTACTCTAGTATGAAGACTTATTTAGTCGTATACTAACGTGGTTAACAAAGCGGTCAACAGATGAATTTATTTAATCTGTGAATACATAGCTATATATATCCTTGGTCAGTATACAGCAGTCAGTTGTCGCGGCTTAACGGACCCTGTCACCGGGCTACTGACCGTCTGCGATAACAAACACATCTACAATGGCATTCGTTTCGAGTACAAGTGTTTTGTTTATATTATTCATATCGATTTCCGGCAAATCGATACCAAACAGTTATATAGAAAATCGAATCAATTTGATCGAACGTGAAGTGGACATGCAATTAGGAAGTGAATTGGTTTTGAACGATGATGAAAAATTAGCAAACGAAATATTAATGCATTGGAAACAAAAGGAAATCGAAGAATCGTTTCGTAATCCACAATATTTTAATTTCTCCAAACATTATTTTGATTACAAGAACGATATTCCTAAATCTAAAGTATATCAGATTATAAGAGGGATGCCTAAAGGCGCTGTGCTACATGTCCATAGCTCACTGATGCTTAGTACAGATCGTTTACTAAATCTGACGTACGAAAATAATTTGTATATGTGCAAAAATGAAATCGGTGATTTACAATTCAGATTTTCTGAAGATATTCCCAAATGGCCTTGTCATACAAGTTGGGTGCTGTTAAGTGATCTGAGAAGTTTAGGTGATGCAACCAAATTCGATGAATCGTTAAAGAATTATTTCACTCTATTTTCTGGATCAAGTCGAGGTTGTGACAAAATCGATATTAATACAATCTGGCGAAAATTTGAAAAGATTTCGAACGTTATATCTCAACTAATAATTTATAGACCAGTCACTGAAAAGTTCTTTTACGAAGCCTTGAATGAATTTTACAATGATAACATACAGTACATTGAAATTAGAAGTGGTTTGAAAAGTCTATACGAATTAAATGGAACAGTACATGACAAATTGTATATGCCGAGATTGTACCGTGATGTAGCTGAGCGTTTTAAAAGAGATCATCCGGACTTTGTAGGCGTTAAATTGATCGTTACCAGACACAGACTAAAGACGGATGAAGAGATACGCAAGACTATTAATTTAGCGAGGCAGGTAAAGCAAGAAATGCCGTCGTTCTTAGCCGGTTTTGATCTAGTAGGACAGGAAGATTTGGGCAGATCGTTATCTGATATACTGCCATTGCTGAATGAAGCAAAGAATGATTTGAAATATTACTTCCATGGAGGCGAAACTAACTGGTACGGGACATCAACGGACGAGAATTTATTCGATGCTGTTCTTTTGGGATCGAAGCGTATAGGTCACGCGTATGGATTAATAAAGCATCCATCTTTACTAATGGCTGTCAAACAATACGATATAGCGTTAGAAGTGAATGTTGTGTCTAATGCGGTGTTGGGTTTAGTCCATGATGTGAGGAATCATCCGTTAGCGACGTATTTAGCTCTAGGTCTGCCAGTTGTGTTATCAAGTGATGACCCGGGAGTGTGGGGCGCGGATCCATTGTCTCACGACTTTTATATCACTTTCATGGGTGTTGCGAGCAAGCGCGCTGACTTGCGTCTTCTAAAGCAACTAGCGATTAACTCTATTAAATATAGTACGTTGGATATAAAAAATAAGGAGGCGTTGTACAGTGTATTTCATACTAAATGGGATGTTTTTATCAAACAAGTATTAACTCTGAGTACAAATCTTTAAGACGAGGAATGTGTAATTTATTTTATTATATGTAATTTCTGTACATATATCCAGTCATTAGGTTAATTTTATATATGTGTATATTGTACATAGTTCTACTATTAAAAATAATTAAAATAATTTATAATATTATTTGTGTATTTATTTCACCAACTTACTATCCTGTTTGTTCTTTGTTAATAAATGTATTGTTGACTCACATTTTATCTTGTAATTCTAATTCAATTAAGACATAAGTTAATAAGATAAAATATCTAATAGTACAAATACGGTTAGCTATAACATTCCATTTAAAAGTGAACTTAAATTTTATACCTTAATCATATTGACATAAAATTAAATCTCCTTTAAATTTTTCTCGGAAATTTCAATCACACGAAAGGAAAAATAAATAGAAACAAACTAGTTTATTTCCCTAAAAGAATATAATGTAAATTAACTATGAGTTTCTTAATTACATCTACTAACATCTAGATTTTATATTCCGTGTCTATATACGTGTGCAATAAATCTCATGTTCCACGGTTGACACCAATTAGAGTGAAGCGACACCTAACGGCAACATAGATAAATGATCCGCGACGTGTGAACATGCCTTAATTAGCTGCATGAAAACCATCAACATATTAAAATCGTATAACTAAAGGCGCGGCAGTTCCCCCGCCAAAGTGAACAGATCCGATCCATAGTTCATAGTAATATGAGCATTTTGTGTACACATTTTGCGTCAAACAGCTAAAACTATACGTCGTCATTGTGCTCGGAGCTAAGTTAGTGGTGACTAGGCCATAGTCCAGTGTGGACTGACTTCACTCATATCTTTGAATTTCTTCGCACATATGTGCAGCATCAAGATGTTTTCTTTCACAGTCATAATAATATAAATTTGAATGTTGGGATGGATGGATAATTGTGCTGCATGGATTAATATCGAACGTAGTCTGGAAGAATGCATAGGCTACTAATTAAATTCTTTTTTCCGCACAGACGAAGTCACGGGCGAATGCTAGTATGAAATAACTATATTTTGCAAGATCATTTATAATATAATTTTACGTGTAAAGTGATGATTAATGAAATGTTCTTTGCTAATCAACATGTTTCTCCATGTGATGATGGTAGATTCTTTAGAGCGAGACGTTTTCAAACGGTGCGTGTTTAGTCTTAATTAGTGGAGACTGTGAGATGTGTAATGAACTGTAATAAGTTCACACTTTGGATATTCTAAATTTAAAAATACACAAAATTGTCTAATGTTTAAATCAAGCAACGGACGCAGTTTCATGAATTATCAAAAATAAATTATTTCAAGACATAAAAATAGATAAGTACAAGTAGAAAAAAAAGTCATCGTACTTCTTACTAATATTATAAATGCGAATGTTTGGATAGATGGATGACTGTATGAAGGTATCTCTAAAACGCCAGAATGTATCTCGCCGAAATATGGAATAGATGTAGAAAATAGTCTGGAGGAAAACATAGACTACTAATTAAGTTTTACGACGAATTTCGGTGAAAGCTATGAGTTATTTAGGTAACTAATCTCGATAATGTAACATTACCAACACCAGCATTATGAGTTATTGACCTGCACATTCCTAAGGATAATTAACTTATCATTTTACGTTAACAATTTAACTAAGAAACGAATTGACAATATTGGAACATCCTATATTCGTTCGAATACAAAAAATTGTCAACAAATACGAATCATACTTTATCATTATCAGTTCCTGTTATCATAATATTAGTATCTGGTTAATATATCTACTAGATATGGCAAACAAAATAATGATTTTAATTGTTACCATGCGAGTATAAAATAATTTTTGTTCATTGAATAATCTAATCTTACTAATATAAATGCGAATGTTTAGATGGGTGGATGTTTCTTTGAAGGTATCTCCAAAACGGCTCAATTCATCACGATGAAATCTGGCATGGATGTAGAAATGTCTGGAAGAACACACTGGCTTCTTATTAGGTTTTTTTTTTAATTCGTCGTCGTCGTTCGACTCGCGGGCGACAGCTAGTGTAAGTAATAGTTCTACCTACCAATATTGCATAAGTTCCGAGAGAATGTGTAATCAGCGAAAGAATGCTGTTATAAGTTTTTGTTGGGTAAATTCACTATCTTTTAACCATAATACCAATTGGTTTGTATCTTGTGTTACATCCAGTACGCTGTTGCGTTGTTAAAGATGCGTTGTTGCTTCTCAAAGATTGGAATTCGATTGGCTTGTATTGAGTTCCGTTGGTTGATTGTCACCAGGTAATAAGTGACAAAGGATATGATAGAATTTTGCATAAATTAAAAGCGCATATTTGTTTTTATTAGTTTTATTTAAGTTAATTCTAAATTTGTTTAACGTAACTAAGGTAAGGTAACTTTTAATTTATTCAATCTATTGTTATGTATTTCTAACCACACTTTCAAGTTCATACTGTACAAATAATTTAATAAAACAATCATAACATCTTTCTATATAAAATCAGCTGTTGTTAAAAACTGGCTGAGTAAAAAAATTCCAACAAATAAGAAAAGGCAGCGCTAAAAAAATATCAAACTATGATTTGCCCAATAATGTATTAATTAAATTATGTACGAGTTATTTACCCTCTAAAGATATCAAACATTGTTGCTTACTGGTAACAGAGAAATTCCATATCAAAATAACAACGTAATCAAACAAAAATTTAAAAATAATAATTGTCATGTTACAAATGATATAAATCCGTAAATTGGCATTTAATCGCAAAATTAAATTGATAACAAACAGTCAAATTAAAATGAGATTATATTTCAATATTGATAAACATTTGAATATTCCCCCAACTACCATTTACCCCTGACAATTCCATCTATAAACCTTGTCCAGCGTATATTAAATTCATGTACAATTCTATCTTTATTTGAAATACTACTATAATATAAAGAATTCAAAGCTAATTTCTTTAAAAGTCTTAAATCAGCATGTTTACTTGCAACACCAACGAAAGTGACATAGAAATCATGAGACAAAGGTTCAGCATCCCACAGACCTGGATCATCACTTGATAATACAATTGGTAACCCGTTAGCTAAAAAAGAAGCTAAAGGATGGTTTCTTGCGTCTTCTACAAGTTTGAGAACTTTATTAGATATAACATTTACTTCTAAAGCTATATTGTTCTTTTTAACTTCTTCCATTAATACTGGATGCTTGATCAAAGCATATCCATGACCAATACGCTTAGCACCAAGAACTATAGCATCAGCTAAGTTCTCATCAGAATTCGTTCCGAACCAATTAGTCTCTCCAGCGTGAAAGAAATAATTTATTTCATCTGAAGCATCTATTAGTTCAGGTAGAAAATCTTTTAAAGGTCTTCCCAAATCTTCTTGTCCAACTAAATCAAAACCAGCGAAGAAATTTGGTAGTTTTTCTTTAATTTCACTTGCAATGCTAAGATGCTCTTTTATCGTATCACGATTACCCAATCTTAAAGGTGCGTATATCAATTTAGCGCCGAAGAAATCTGGATAGTCTGTTATAAACTTATCTAATATATTTCTATATGATTGTGCTGTGAATACTGAATCGAATACATTTCCTTGTAAATCGTAAAGTTCAGGTAAAACACTACGAATTTCTAAGTACATAATATTGTCTTGTCTCGCCGCTTTTAATGTATCATAGAAGTATTGTTCCCACACAGGTTTGTAAGTAAATAAACCGTCAGTATTTATAAAATACTGTTGAAATTTACTCCACACAGCATTTATATCGGTGTAAACATTATTAGGATTATCAATTACAAGTGTGAATAGTTTCTTTAAATCATTATCGAATTTCTCAACATTTTCGGAAGCGTTACGTACATCTTTCATTAACTGCCATTTGGATTCGCAAGTTGTATTTGGTTGGTTTTTGGAAAATAAAAAGTTTGTATTATTACTATGAAAACAAACGTATAAGCTATCCCAATATGTTAGTTTTAGAACGTAATCAGCATTCAGCATTCCTGTATCGTGTGCATGTAGCAATGCTCCTTTTGGCATTTTCTGTATTAACTTAAACAATTCGGATTTATTACATTCATTATTATAATCGAAGAAATGTTTTGAAAAGTTAAAATATTTCGGATTTATAAAACTAAAGTCCAATTCTTTCATCTTCATGTTCATTATAATTTCATTTGCTTTCTCTTCACTATCACTAAGGACCATACCACTTCCCGGCATCATATCCAATTCCTTCTGCAAAAGTATTTGTTTTCTTCTAATAGCATTTTCAATAGCAGCATTTTCTGATGAAACTATTATAACACTACCAATCAAAGCACCAACAAACACGGTCCACTTTCCAGCCATCACAACGTCCACTAAACTTTTAAAAAAGAACAACTTTAAGGTCTATTCAGAGCAAGGTTGCTCAGAGAACGGACGGTAAAAAGAAAAAAAAACCGCACGAACAAATTCGATTATTAGTTATGAATAAACTAAAAAAAAAATTGCACACACGTGTACACCGTATTATATTATTGATAATAGTGAGTATCTGTCGATAAAAAACTATTTCAAAAGGAAAAAATATTTTTACACGGTGTCACTATCAACTGCGATCAGCAGTCGATGTATCGATCATGTTTTAGATTACAACGACTCGTGAAGTCTCGTGTAAAATAAACTTTCCCTGTTAGCGCAACACTAGTAATGTATCCTTACTCTGTTTGCCAATATTTCTCGTTAGAATTTAAATCAAATGCATGTGTTGTAGCATTATATTTTAGGCTTTTTAAGAAGGTAACTTCGATCATAAAGTCTCCAGTAATCTAAATTAGTTTTATGTCACTCTTTTTATTAGTTTAGTCTATATGTTAGCCTTTAATTATTTCTAAAAGTTGCTTATATTTAATGGTATTTTATAATTAATGCCATGATTTTTTCGCATTGTAAATTGCTACCGGGCTCGGCTGATTTATTATAAGTCGTATATTTATTATCCAATCCAAAAGAGATAATTATTACCTAGTAATAATCTATTGCGCGTAAACAATGTGTTATAAAACTTTACAAACAAACATACAGAACTAATGATTTATTATCTATTATAATCGAGTCGTACAAAATAAGTATTTCTAGTATAATAATGCTTATGTAATACAAGACTTGTTAAACAATAACCTAAGCATTGTGTTTGAAACTGTGTTAGTAAATTGCCATCTTGTGTCTATTGTTAGAAATTATGCTGTTCTAAAGATTCTAGACGACGACGTTCTTAGTGAAGGAAAACATCGTCATGCAACCTGGACATATCTGAGAAGAAATTCAAAGATAAGTGTACAGTCAACCCGCACTGGGGAAGCGTGGTTGACTATGGCCTAATCACCCTTAACTTAGGGTAGGCTCCGAGTCCCTCGGTGGGGACGTATAGTGAGCTGATGATGATCAAAGATTCTAGCCATACTAGCAAAGTAATATATCTATTTCTTTATAATAATTTACAATTTAATACACATGTTTTATTACGAGTAGATCTTACTAGATTTCGATTACATAGCGTATGTTTAAACGAGCTCTTGGACTAAGCTTTAGTAGGTGGCGCTGCCGGCACATATGTTTTTTTAAGGAAGCTTGTTGTCAAGTCAATGGAATTCATTGATGAGCGGTCATAAATTAATCCAATGACAAAAGTATTATTATTTTTATATTTTATTTTTTTGCAGTTTACGGTGTTCACCTCACTAGAATATAGCAAAGTGAGGGTACATCACTAACAGATTGAAAAGGCTATAGCGCGATATTGAACGATAAAAAATACTTTATTCTTTAAACGGTGTAAATTACAGCCAGCGGCGTCTAACCAAAGGGGGTTTCGGTTTCAAAGCGACGCTCTAAAGAAAATAAAAATAATATAAAAAAAAAACAAAAAGAAATAATAAGGCCGCGCCTCATCCGCCATGTTTGATTTTATGCAGCGAAAGGGTTGGGGTAGGATTAAGTGGTGCTTAACTGTACCGCCCCGTACTACGCATTCGTTAAAAAAAATATGGCGGCGACGAGAATTCACGTATGCTATCGACTTCCCGCATGTAAAGTCACACTCCTTTCCCTTTAATCTTCTAATTAGAACTCTTCCAAAGTTTATGACACTGAGCGAGCCCGTCTTCGAAACAAAAGGACGCACCCTAGAACCCATCATAATGTACAGTATGAATTAAAATGTCTGCCAACGTGTGCCATCAAATATTTTTATATAGCTTTACAACAAAACATTCTATCCCTTTATGTTTTTAAGTGTAGACTTTAATTTTCTAACAGTTTCTTAACACTTTAAGTGCCACCAATGCGTCTGGCAAGTTCTCTTGTATGCCAGAACCAAATGTCGCCCGCGACTCCGTAGCGCAGCATTAGAAAAAACATAATTTATAGCCTATCTATTCTTCCAGAATATGTTCCACATCTATTCCAAGTTGCAGCGAGATCTATGCAGCCTACCTAGATACCTTCAAACAAACATCCATCTAAACATTCGCATTTATAATATTAGTCAGATAATCGTATGGCATTAAACGTGTTTAACACTTTGAAGCTATAAATATCAAACTTATCGAATTTATGAATACAACGAACAAGATATTCGAGAGTATTCGTGTAACGTAAATATTAAAACATCTAGTCTTCAATACTAAATGCATAAAATATTTACATAAACAATATTAAATACTAATAATAATGTACAATACATTGACATAACATTCATAAGAGATTAGTAGATAATTATAAATGAAACCATAAACATTTTTTTTAATCTTTAACGTTAATTAGAGCTAAAATAACTAATGTGTTAGAACTAAATTAATTAACAAAGTACGTATTTTGGCAAAAAAGTAATACAAATTTGCATAAACATAGATAATTTGATTGAATACAAACGTGATTAAATTCATTTAATAACAATAAACAGATTAGTTTAATTTGCTGATTGTCAAAGGTCATCGCGCTGCTTGGTCAGTTTACATCGAACATTTGGCACGTCCGTACGTTAACATGCGTGCTGTGATATTTCTATTGTTTTTCTATAGTGTATACGCGTCAAATATAGATGAATACTTTGATAAACGATATAAGATCTTAAAAAGTGAATCCCGTACTTCTCTCGGAGGCAATGTCACTCTCAACGATAAAGAAGCTGCAGTAAACATCTGCTTGATGCATTACAAGTTCAAGGAAGTTGATTACTGGTTCGATAACCCGAGGTATTTCAATTGTTCGCGACATTACTTTACTTACAAACAATATATAAAGACGTCTAAAGTTTACAGGATAATACAGGATATGCCAAAAGGTGCAGCGCTACATGTCCACGATATGGGACTATTAGGTCCTGACTATTTATTGAATATAACATACCAAGATAATCTTTATGTTTGTTTTGATAATAATTTACATTTATTATTCGCTAATGCACCACCAAAATCTCCCTGTGATGGGAAATGGCAACTAATGAATAAAGCTAGAAACTCTTCGAATAACATCACTAAATTTGACGCAGATTTGCGGAATCATTTTACATTGTTTGTGAAAAATCCAGATACAATTTATCCGAGCATAAGAGAGACTTGGAGAGCGTTTATGAAATTCTTTATAACTGTCCAGCCTATGTTGTCCTATAGACCAATTTGGGAACAATACTTTTACGATGCACTGAAGAGTTTTAAAGAAGATAATATTATGTATTTAGAAGTAAGAAGCATACTACCGAATCTATACGAATTGGATGGTACAGTATACGATCCTTTAGTCACAGCTAAAACTTACAAGAAGGTTATTAAAAACTTTATGAAGGATCACCGTGACTTTTTAGGTGCAAAACTTATCTATGCACCGCCAAGAAAAGTAGATCGCGTAAAGTTAGAAGAATATTTAGAATTAGCGAAAAGAATAAAACAGGATATGTCAGATACATTCGCTGGGTTCGATTTAGTCGGACAAGAAGATTTGGGAAGCCCACTCATAGAATTTGTACCACAATTATTAGAATCCGCTTCGGAATTGAATTATTTCTTTCATGCAGGAGAAACGGATTGGTATGGAACACTGACAGATGAAAATCTCGTGGATGCGGTGTTACTGGGAGCTAAACGTTTAGGGCATGCGTACGCGTTGCCAAAACATCCTCAAGTGTTAAACGAAGTTATTAAGAAAGACATTGGCTTAGAAGTTAATGTGATATCAAATGCTGTTCTATCTTTAGTTCGTGATATAAGGAATCATCCATTGAGTGCATTCCTTGCCCACGGTCTTCCAGTTGTTTTATCTAGTGACGACCCAGGAGTGTGGGAAGCAGATCCTCTTTCTGAAGACTTCTACATCGCGTTCGTGGCTGTAGCCAGTAGACTATCTGATCTCAGACTGCTTAAACAATTAGCTATAAATTCATTAAAATACAGTGCTCTAGATTCGATCTCAAAAGTTGACGCGTTACGTAAGTTTAACTATAAATGGAATGAATTTATTGATAATTTTGATTGTTCTAAGTATCAAAATTAATTATGGTAGTATTAAAATAAAATTAAATATATCCTAATCAATATTCTTTTATTTTTATTATCGTAATTATAAACTTTTTAATTAACCTAAACATTTCAAACACAAAAATGTTGTTTTTTGTTTCTTTTTAATTTTCTTATCTGTAGTGTTGTATGAGTGTAAAATGACCACAGAACAGATAAAGATACAAAATTAAAACATCCGGTCAGACGCGGTCAACTCACATTTACCGCGCAGATATGCAATTGCTACGTTACGTAAACATATTTTCCGTACAAAAACAATATTATATACTGAATTATTTTAGTTTAAGGTTATAACGGTTCTCGCCAAATTCAATGAAAATTGTTTGCCAAATATAGGTTTAAAAAACTAAAACTTCTATACTAAACAAAAAGTTCAAGCAAAGGTACTCAGTATAAGTATATATACAGTAGACTAAATACTTTTTAAAAACGTGACATTTCTGTTTTCGAAACTGTCAAAAAGCGCGGGATCGTATCTGTCATTTGCAATCTCGACGCAAGTATCAAAGCGTTGAAGTACGCAATGTGTGCAGATAGGACATTCGATTTTGTTCTTTATACCAAGGTAGGCAAAGGCCGCATTTACAGCCAGTAAGAATGGTCTAGATGTATCTATGAAGCGAAGTTCGTGGAGCGACACCCTCGTCAGAAGTGTTCTCTAGACTAACGAAGTCATTGTCTGGGATGCTACTCGCTTGTTGGGATCCGTATTTTCCATGTAATACCTAGAGTACGCTCTGCCACTAAGTATTCTTTGACTTGGAAATTATGTAACTCTTGAATTTCAAGTATACAAAGAATTGTAGGTACTAGTAGTAATCAGTGAGTCTATTTGTTTTTATATTTTACTTTATATTTTCTGATATCTTGCTTATTTTTATTCTTTCTAATATATTCGTAGTTTCAGCCAATCTCAAATGCCTTTCTCAATACTTTTTTTGACCAGGGTTAAACACTATTGGTTATTATTTTATTTTAAACGTGGTTTTCTTTTATTCAAGTTAGTGAGAAAATGTCTTTAGTAACTAATTTTAAAATTTTATGTGGAAATAAAAACATGTCACCGTGTACAGTCAGCTGCATAAATATGTATAAATTTAGAAAACTTCAGAAACTTGTATAAGCTTTTAGTTTAAAAAATATGTATGCACGAATTGGTCCCTAGGCATCCGTCCATGAGTACATGTTCGTGACGAAAACGTGCATAAGTATTTCTGGAACAAACGGCCTGTACAAATTTCTAGAAATATGTAAATGTATACGTATTTATGCAGTTGAGTGTACAATATTATTGTAGTAAGTACTCATGTAGTAGTACTATTTTTAGCTCCAATTTATCTTAACATTCAATGAGTAGCGAGTAGCGACCTCTACGCATTGACCCATCCGACGAATAAGGTTACATCTTCACATATATCTGATAGAGATAAAACTCTTTCCATCGGAATGGTCTTTTCTTTGCTACGCCACATTTATCGATATACCAATCAATTTTTTGAACATTTTTGAAATGTGTATTTCATATTTATAGCCCTAATATAATTTTCAATTTATATTTAATTTTTAATTGTATAGCTTTATCACATTTAGATTTATCTCAAGTTCAAAATAACGCCATCTATTTAAAATATTAGTCACTATATTTACTAAATGTTTTTTCTTTCTTCACAATGGCTAGTAAAGCATCTTTAACTTTGATAATGTGAAGTTTTTTAATTGTATTTTTTTGTCAATGTGATAAAATTTGGATATATGAAAATCGCGTCTAAATAAAACAAAATTTCAAGAGTATTTATGTATTATGTATCAGTTCAAATAAAAAAACACAAATTAACCTTAAATTCAAACAATAAAATGACACTGGTTTGCAAAATTTTGGGGCTTAGTTTTTTTATGCCTATACGAAAAAAGTTTACAAATTAAAAGTGCGGAATGTTATATAATTTTTCCTGTTACAAAGAATTAAACTTATTCCATTAAAGAGAATACAAATAGACAAAGTGAAATTACTGTCATATGAACAACTTGCTTCTTTTTTCGAATTTCTCGTTCGAAATACTAATAAATTAAAACGATAAACATCAGATGGTCGTAACTGCTCTAGTATACCTACATTCAACTATATAACATAGCAAGTATATTCATAATTATAATAAAGATATAATTTTCAAAGATAACATAAGATTAATCTTCTCCCGCTGGTACAGCGTCTTCTAATCTCTTTATATACTTCACACGTAGTTCAGTAACTGCATCACCTCTTAACTGGTCCTGAAATTAATTAAATTTAATGATTGTAAAATATTAAATGTATAAAACCTTCTTCGTCAAAAGTGATTTCATGATACTAGATGGCGTTAGATACGTTAATCATGACTAACGCCATCTAGTTTTGGTAGGAAATTGTACGAAATCTAAAGTTGTCGCTACATGTCACTAGATGGCAAAATACTAGGACACCATTTGGTGTAAAAATTTTCAGATTTTATTTTAGAAAATCGCTAATTTTACAATCATAACATTTTCCAGCCTAACTTGCTTGTATATATTTTGTGATGATATTTAATTCAATCAACATTTTTCTTTAGTTTGTTAAATCAAATAAAAAATTGTAATAAATATCCATGATGCTTAATTAAATTTCAAACAAAATTGACTCAAACTATCCGAAATGGTAAGCGACTATTCCTTCAATATTTATTTAACATATACAAAACATATAATGAAAAGAGATAAAGCAAAGCTTTAATTTTTAAAACTTCCGGATAAGAATATTAAAAAAGTAATGTACCTGTACAAACCAGCACTGTACTTCAAGCTGTACCATCTGTAGAGCTCCTCGTATGGCGCCCGGTATCAGAGCGCAGTACTTAAGACCGGAGTTTGGGATTTCAACCCACTCGCTAAGTGGACACTGATCCCATACTAGAGAGAATTCATCTCCCGCACTACTCCAGCTGGTTACAGTTGGCTGCATATTGAGATACAATCTGAAATATACCATATAGCATACTTTATTAAACAAGAAAACAAAAGAAATGTTACTTTATTAATATAATATATTAATAGAACAATTTTAATAAGTTAAAAGATCCTATAATAAAATAAATTGGGCTAGATCGACATATATAGTTAAACTTAGTTATGCAAGAGTCCTGAAAGATGCGATATAATTCTTGTTTGTAGAAGTTTCTCTACAAACTGCTGGCTCGCTTATGTTCTTGCTCGTGAAAGTTGCCTGTCAAGACCAGATAATGACTCTCACTTATACAGCTTTCACGCTTATTAGTTTGATTGTAACTATAATCTTTAACATACAATAAGATACGAATCACATACTTTGTTGATTTAATAAGAACAACAAGGAGATAATAACCTTACAAATAAGATTTTTGCTTAATAGCAAAGTACCTGAAAGCTTGCTGTATTTTATCCGCGGTCTCCCTCATCTCTAAGCAGCGATTTGACGAAGTCCGAGCAAGAAAATCTTCAATCAAACGTACGCCCATATTGTACCCAATACGTTCTAAATGTTTATTTACTTCATCATTGTTCTCTGTTTCCTTTAACATTTGTGATACTAGAGCGCCATAAGTGAGCGTTAGTAGTTCTGAATTCTGAAAGGATCAACATTTTGTAAACATTATCAAAATCATAATGAATAAAATGCTTGTACTTACAACTTTCTTAGCATCAAGCCGAGATGTTTGCCTCGACATCTTTGTATTTTATTATTTAGAGGCGTCTAGAATAATTTATTTTCAAACTATAATATGAAGGCTTTTAAAAACTACATAAAATACAAAAAATCAATTCTTTATAGTGATAACGATAGGCGTTTTATGAGCTTGACATTGACAGTGATGACAACTTGACAGTTGACAATTGGCATATAGTGACATTATCAGTAAAGACTTTAATGTGAAAAATTAATATGTTAAAAAACATAAAACAAAAAACATTTGTTGCTGCTATTTCCAAGAAAATAGACACATAAAGCAAAAGGAGTTTTAAATAAGCTTTTACTAGTTCATCGATGTACTTACAACAATCGTTATAGTTAATCATCTTCAACTACTGATTTTGTTCTTTTTTTTATTTTGCTTAAAAAGAAAGTTATTGCATCATGAATTACAAATTGATCGAGTAAAGATTATTATATGGGCTAAAAAGGGTATTTCGGAAACTTCCACAAAAAAAATAACAAAATGTTTGATTTTCCTATGTATTTATTTATTAGTAGCAATAGTTTTAATAATCCAGTCTGTAAAATGGGATAGTTTAGTGTAAACTCCAGGATAATAACGTAGTCCGCAACCATATCCGAACGATACAAGGCCAACGACCACTCCTT